TTCTTTTATTTATTAAAATAACTTCGTGGAATTTAATAAATTTGTTTTATTAAAATTATTATTTTTATTATCCGGACCTTACAGAAGAGAAAAAAAAAAAACAGTAAAGCATCTTTTCTTTCTCATTTTTTATTTCTAAATAGAAAAATATAACATTATCTAAATTGCGATACTAAAATAATAAATTAAATCTATTTTTTTTTTTTTAAAGTTTGAGATTTAAAAGTTTTCTTTGATTTTTCAAAATTTTCTTTGTGAAACTGGAAAGAATTTTTAATAAAAAATAATTTTTTATTTTTTGGAAATGGGGGGTGAGGGGAACAATACACTCTTTTCGATTGCTATTATTAGTAATTCAAATGTATAAATTCTAATTTACAATTTCCCACTTGAATCTTATTTTTTCTTCGCGTTCTTTTTCTTTTCTTTGCATCTTGCGAGCATTCTAAAAAAATAAAAAAATGTTAAACGATATAAAAGTAAATTCCAACTATTTGTTTCATGTTCATTGAACAAAGAGAAACAATGCTCACTTAATAGTAGTCTAAAGTGTTGAAAAAAATATCATTGTGTTTTTTAATGAACAATTTAACTTGGATAACACTTGAAATAAGTAAATTTTAAAAAATTAAAAAGCAAAATAAAAAGTAAATTTTTAATTTTTAAAAATAATAATAATATTTTTTTTTTAAGAGAGAAAGGAACCAAGTCGCACATTGTTGAGGAAATAAAAAATTTCGTCAAAAAAAAAAAAAAAAATCATTTTGTTGAAAAAAATGCCACCACCGGGGTTCGAACACGGGGCCTTCGCTTTACGAGAGCGACGCTCTACCAAACTGAGCTATAGCGGCATTACCTCGCGGATATTACTTTTATTATAAATATTTGACATTTTGCTATATGAAAGTTTTAATTTTTTTTTGGTTATTTGGAATGTTTGATATGGAAAGTAATATTCAATTTTATTTTTTAAAAAATACTTTTTGATTTAAGAATGAATTTGAAAATTCATTATTTGAAATCCTTCAGTTCTCTTTAAAATTAAATAATTTAAAAAAAAAAAAAAAAAAAAAAAATTCAAATATAGTAATTTTCTTTGAAAAAATATTTAAGTTTCTGTTTTTAGTATTTTACTGGAAATTTAAGTTGGTTTTTCTCATTTTAAATTTAGTATAAATAAAAAATACTTGAAAAGAGTGCAACCGACTTAATTTTTTTTCTTGCATTGAATTTTATATAGTGTATATCTGTACATTATTTTATAGGCAAAGAAAGGTTTCGTTTAATAATATTTTTATTAGAATACAATTTTTTTTAGTAAAATATAAAATTTAAAAAAAAACCAAATGAATCTTAATATATCTGCACAGATATATATAGGGAAACAAACAAAACAGGATCATATACTTTCCTTTGGGACTTCTAAATCAGCTATACTTCTTGTTATTTCAGGAAGTGCTTTAATTGAGTTTATTACATCTGGGATCACTTCTTTTCTTTCATTTTCGAGTTCTAGATCTTCAGCTAGTTCCTTTATTTCACAGACATTTTCAACCCCTACAGGACTTATCTGAGAAGATTGCATCGCTCTGCCTACTGGAATAATAATATCCACATCCAATAACGGTGCTTCGCGCTTTTCTGTTACATAACTTGAATGTCCAGAGCTCAATGATTTACGTCTTCTTTCATCTTTAGCGAGCTCTAGCAATGAATGCTGATCTTCTTCTAAGACCAAGTAGCCCAATGAACCTTTGACAGTCTTTGAAAGATCTATATTAAGTATTTCTTGAGATTTACCTTGCTTCGTGCTAAAGGCTTCCTCTAACTCTTGAGAAGGATTTTTTTTTTTTTTTTTCATTTTTCTTTGTGAATTCTTTTGATGAGACTCTAAAGTTAACTCCCTTGCTTTCACGCCGTCTTCTGGATAAGCTTCACATGCTGCCAAGAAATCAGACTCTCGTAATACATATATATCTGAATTACATACTGCAAAAGCAGATGACTCACAGGGATAACCTAAAATCAAAGAGAGTTCACCTTTTGAAATAAATGTGTTAAACAGGAAAACAAAAGAAGCTTAATTATTCAAAAGAAATAAAAATAATTAATAAAAAAAGTTTTAAAAAAAAAAAAACGTTTTAACATGCAAAATATTTTTAAAAAAAGGGTATACAGTGAAGGAAAATTTTTGCAGTTGTACCAAAATGGCTGCCCTCAACCATTGAAGCGATACTTGTTTTATCGTCATTATCCAGCAAGTCGACCCGCCCTTGAACAACGAAAAACATCTCCCTTTCTTTTTCCCCCCTATGTCTTACAAATGTGTTTGAAGTGAAAAAAGTTATCCTCATGGCTAAAACAAGCATGCGCTTAAACCCAATACTTCGTTCTTTAAACATTGGAGCCTAAAAGTAAATTTTTACGAAATTTTTAAATACATTAAGATTGCCGCAAAAAGTAAAATTTTTTTTTTTTTTTTAAAGTCTCTGGTATGATTTGAATTTAAAAAAATATCAGCCCTAAGATAAATTAATTAAAGTTTAAAGTAAAACCATATTTACACGATACCTTTTCAAGTATGCTTTCGTTCATAATAAGGGCCACTTCTGCTCGAAATGTTGTTGGTAAATCATTAAAAACGTTGACTACATCAATGCCTTTATTACGTACCCAAATGTATTCATACCAATCAAGCACTTTCGTTTGGGTCTCTAAACTAAGACTTAAGTTTTTCATGTATTGTTTTATAGCATTTACTTTCTGTGCATAGTTTACACGTCGACTATCAGCATTAGATAAAGTAGAAGAAATGGTACCACCAATATAGCCGTATAAAAACACTCCCATAATCATGCAGAAAATTGAAAATAATTGCTCTTTTTCATTTACAGCATGGATATCTCCATATCCTAATGTAAATAAAACGAAAGAACCATTTAATAAACGATCAATTATCATTAGAAATTAAAAGCAAAAAGTCATGTCTATAAAATATCAAACCACTTTCAATACAAAAAATATCTATTTTTTAAATTTAATTTTTAAATGATTAAGTTTTTAATGCTTTTTTCTTCATGTAAAAAAGGAAGGATTGAAATAGATAGTAAAAAATGAACTTTCAAGTTACCTGTTGTTGTCATAGTCATAACTGTCCAATATAATGCACCAATGTACATGGTAGAAGGAGAACGAAGTTCTTCTCCTGTATACCATTTTACTGCCCAAGATGAAGGTGCACACGTACTACCATCACAGGCAATAAAATACCAAATACAAGCACACCAATGCGTCAGCAAGATAATGTAAATACTGAACTTCCCCATTTTTAATTGTGCAGTAGCTTTTAACTTGTTTTCCTCTTTATCGAACCATAAAATCAATTTTGAGGTTCTAAGGACCTTGAGTAATCGTAAGTAGGACAATAAGTTTAACTGATTTTCCTTTTCTGTTAAAGCAAATAAATCCAATGGCAAGTTTACAAGGAAATCAAATTTGGATTCCCAAGAGTTTAAATATCTCCAAGCCATTTCTTTTGGAAAGACAACGTAAAAACCACATTCCAGGTAGGCTTTATGAAATTTTAAAAAAATATCGACGACATAAAATGCATCGAGGGCGAATTGAATGATAAAAAAATAAATATATTTGTCATTAAAAGCAAGTACAAGTGGAATAAGAATTCCATTAATGACGTGGATAATCACCATAAAGTGCTCCCAAACTTGTAAAAAGTGACCTTCAGGTAACAAGTAAAATTTATGAAGGAAACTCATTATTCCTCCATATTTATTTTTTATTGAGAATCCTGAAGCTTTTGGCTTGGGGCGTTTACCATCTTCATTTGCTGAATTTAGCTTCATTTAGGGTACACTGAATAAACCAAAGAAAAATTAAGTATAAATCTTTTTTTATACATAGCAATAGTTTAAATTTGCTCATGCAAATAATAAAGCGTTAGAAACCTTGTATAATTAAAATGTAGAACTCCTTTTTTTTTTTTTTTTTTTTTTTTTTCAAAGCTAAAGGTTGAGCAGAAGAAATAAAAAGAAAGCGAGAAAAACTTAAGAAAAAACGAAAATTAAGAAATAAAAAAACAATTTTTAATGATGTTTACTTCATTTACTTTTTTTCAAAATAAAAAAAGTTACATTGAAAATAAATCTTCATAAACTTTAGGAAAGAAGGAATTCTTTAATTAAAAAAGAAGAATAAATAAAAATGAATTACGAAATTACATGTACATTACTAAAACCGAATAAGAAAATGTTGTTACTTCCACTCATAGCATGAAGTTTGAAAAGAACTATGGAGCTAGTAAAGTAAAGAACCCCTTAAGGCCCCCCTTTTTTTTTTGAAACGCGAAAAAGTTTCGCGATGATCTATAAAAAAGTACATCTTGTGTTTTTTATACGTTCATGACATACTATTCAAAAATTTAAGCGAAAAAAAAATAAATAATAAATAAACGGAAACATTTTAGATAATAGGAACGTGGTAATCAAAGTCACTAATACCATTTATTTATTAATAATTGTGCATCTTTTCTTTGTTACTTGATTGATATCCTTGAGCAGCGAAAAATAATGTAGCAGAGTTTCTCACACTTTAATATTACGAAACTGTAAAGGGGGTGTTTAATTTGCGGTCAATTATGTTTAATAACTCTCTTAATGTATGAGATATCTTTAGATTCCTAGTTGAAGTTTATAGCATGTTGTTTTGACCATGTGATGCAGTTCGAACACTTAACGAAAGAAGTTTTAAAAGTTTTAAAAAAGTTGGAAGGATAAAAAAGGTACAAAAATTTAAAAAAATACAAAGAGATTAAAGTTCTTAATTTTTATTGCATAATCCAGAGTTTATTTTTTGTTCGATCAGAGGCCAATATTGAAGGATTACCTCGCTGTCGGTTCTATGCCCATTTTTTCACATCATTGATTTTACCGAAAAATGTTTAACTCTCCCAATTCCGTTGCGGCAGAGGTTACTAGATCTAAATTAACCATTCTTATATATATTTAAAAGCATATGTAAATTCTTTTATAAAAAATGAAACAGATTTCAAAAAATTAAATAATATGTATTTAATTTCCCAAATGCTTTTGTTTTAATCTAGGACTTTATCCTATTTATTTTTTTCACCATAGTAGAAGGGCATGCAAAATAGGGCCGATAAGTTAATTTTGGCTCGAAGGAAGGATGAGCACATTAAAATGCAAATGATGGCCCAAAAAACTTATTACCAGAGAGCTAATCTCCTTTCACAATTTGAAAAAAGTGCACAGAAAATGTTTCAACGTAAACAATCCGAAAGAAAAATGAACGAGTATAGAAAAGAAGATGAAATATCTCTCGAAAAGAGAAGGGAAAAGTAATACAACACGCATATAAATATCATTTATATTTCTTTAGTGATTTATAAATTTAATTTAATTTAAAACTCGTATGAATTTTTAATTTCCTTGCCCAACATAACTTTTTATTTAAACTGTTAAAATAAAATGAAAATGATTTATCCACAAAAAAAAAAAAAATGATATATTTAGACTCCGACAATTATTTAACAAGGATATCGAGTTATGGCGCGAAGAATTAAAAAAAATGGAGCCTAGCAAAGATACAAAGCTCCAAGAATTAAGAAATCGTGTTTCTGAGCTTCAAAAGAAACATGAAGATGAACGTCAGAAAGTTGTGCAAGAAAAATTGTTAGAACAAAAAAGGTATGCTTTCCCTTCCTTTTAAAAATGTATTTTGGACGAACTATATGGTTCATGACAATTTCTATCGCATTTATTTATATAATTTAAAAATAAAAATAAGAATCTTAAAGAAACTCCTAACAGTTAAC